CATAAAATTTCCAAGTTCACTAATTAAATGAGGTGTAAACTTATTTCTAAAAGGGCTATACATTAGCCCAACCACTGTATCCGAATGTTCCATCCCAGTCATTACTCTAAGTCTTAAATCTTCAATATTTAAATCATTCAACGCCGAACTAAATCTCAAAGTTGATTCTAATGGAACAGTTTCATCCTATAAATAAAATTTTATTTAATAAAATAATAATAATAATAATAAGGAATAATTCTGAATATAAAAATAACTACAATACCATATCACCATGAATTAATAAAATTTTTTGGGGTATTAATTTTTTTAACCTATTTATGTCAACTTCTCTATCTTTCGTTGCATTTTGAAGAAGTAAAGTTGGTGAATTCATTTCAAAAGTTTCGGGAGTGTCACCTATAATTAAAACATAATTTTGAAATATTTTATAATAATTAAAAAAAATCAAAAATCAAGAAATAATATACTAAATTAGCAAAGAAAATATATTTATCACAATAAAAAAAAAAAAATCATTTTCAAAATAAAAAAAATTATTGTGATTCGATCAACGGTTAAAAAGTATCTAAACTATAATAAATAATTAAAAACATACCCATCACACGGCCCATTGGAGAAATTTCTTCAACACCACGTCTGGCTTCCCAGAGAAAATGTCTTCCTATATCGAATACTCCTATTACATTCAAAATAAAATGGTCAAGAAGGGTAATCATTTTTATACGTATTTAGATATAAGGACAAATTACCAGCCATCCTAACAATAAACGTATCCGTACTTAAATAAGTCTCACTACTTAACAGCATATGATGATTTAAATAAATTTTAAAAAAAGTAATTAAACTTACAAAATAAGTCCTGCAATTTTAGGAAGTTCTAATTCAGGATCAATATCATTTAGATTTGAGCCTACTTTTCCTTCAATAGTTTGGGATTTAATAATTGAATCCCGAATTGTAACAAGGGCCCCTAGGTGAGCTCCTGAAGAGTGACCCTATAAATTTAATGATGGACAAGAATATTATTATAATAATATTATATTGGTCATAATGAAAAAATTTTCATCAAAAGTTAATGTCACTCCCATGTGCTGCTTAATAAGCACATGAGTAACATTAATTCTGATGAAAGAATTTTAGTTTATGTAATATGACGTTTTTGTTGTAAATGATGAATAGAAAAATATCACACTAAAATTATTAGGAAAAATAATTTACCATTATGTAAATTTTTTTTGGGTCACCGCCAAATTTACTTTTTAAGAATAGATTAATGTCAATGCGTGTGTAGACATTAATATTAAAAAAAAAAATAAGTTTAAGATGTGAACTTACTTAATGAATCTTTTTGTCCATACCAAAGAGCGTTTAATATCAGATAACATTACGTCAACCTTTGCCTATACCAATTTTGAATAATTATTTTTACATAATATATATTACGTAATACCAAAAGATGATATATTAACTCACTTTAGGATATAATGTAAAATTTGGTACAACTACTACATAACCCATTTGTCTTAAACGCAGAGCTAATAAACTATACCATGCTTTATCGCCTATAAAAGAACAATAATTAAAAATTATAAATAAATAAAAAAATTAAAATTCAAAAAATGATTGTTTTTTAAAAAAAATACCTGAGCCCCAAGCACCTCCATGAACAAATACAA